GAAGAGTATTTTCCTTAGTGTTGGACTAGGTGATATTAAATTTGAACACAGACATTATATCAGGTAACATCAAATCATACAGTGAAGGATTTCTCTCTAATTCTTAAAAAATTTTTAAATGTTATATGAACATTAATATACACAAAATAGTATTTGCTTAACACTGGGCTTTTCAGAGAACAGTGAAACATTGCAGTGTGACAAAGCAAGCTCTTCCTCTCTTACAATGACTCTTAACCTGATTTTAAGAATATCTTTATTGTACACATCTTCTTCTTTAAATGTACCCCATAACTAGTAGTACCAATTTTATATTTTCAACATTTAAGTTATGGTATTACACATATCCTTTAAGTTGCCTTTTCTAGTCAACCTGGTTGATAGCTGTAGATCTGATTTTTGTTTTCCCATATTTAATTCCTTTGAAGTCACATACCACGGTATCCAGTCCCTGTTGATGTATTTTAAAGATTTTCCTCTATATTGGTCCTATAAACATTTCTGTAGTAACTATCTGTGTTACTATGTAGTAGGGTTCCCCAGATAAACAGAACTACTAGAATATGTATGGGTGTATCTATGTATATATATTCAGAGATTGATTTTAAGGAATTGGTTTATGTAGTTATAGGGGCTTGACAAGTCTGAAATCTGTAGAGCAGGCCTGTAGGAAGGGGTCAAGGCTTCAGTCTCAACTTTTGTAAAAATCTCAATTTTTGCTCTTAGGACCTTTAGGTGAACTTGATAAGGCCCACCCACATTATGAAGGGTAATCAACTGATCGTACATCTTAACCATATCTAATTATTTCTGGAATTTTCAGTTGAATGTTTTCAGACTACAGTGGATCATGGGTAACTGAATGCTGAAGGGGGGACTACTGGAGTTTCATATAACACCACCACAATTCGGATACTGAAGAGTTCCGTCTCCTTCAAGAACTACCTCAGACTTTTCTTAACCTTCCTCACATGTCTAGCCCCTAGAAACCCCGGATCCATTCTGTATCCCTGTAGTTTTGCCTTTTTCAGAATGTCTATAAATGAACTTGTACTGGCTTCTTTCAGTCACTGTAATGCTTTGGAGATAACGTCTATGCTGTTGAATATATAAGTAGTTCACTATTTTTATTGCTGTGTACTATTCCAGTGTATGGATGTGCTACAGTTGGTTTATCCATCTACCCATTGAAGGACATTTGAATATTTCAGTGTTTGGTGATTGTGAATAACACCACCATAAACAGCTGTGTGCAGATTTTATTGTGAGCATGTACTAATTCTGTAGGGTATATGGCTGAACAGTGGGGTTGCTATGTCAGTCATTTGGTAAATATAATTATATCTTTGTAAAAAAACTGTAAAACTTTCCCAGAATGGCTTTGTAATTTTGCATTTACTCCAGCAGCGTATGAGAATTTCAGTTGTTCCCATTCTTGTCAGCACTTTCTATTGTTGATGCCTTTTATTTTAGACAGCCTAACAGGCAAATAATGGTTTCTCATCGTGGCTTTAATTTACATTTTCCTAATGGCTAGTGATGTGGAGCATCTTTTTATGCAGTATGCCACCTGTATATCTACTTTGGTGAAGTGACTGTTAAAATCTTTTGGCCATTTTTTAAAAATTGGGTTATTGTTCGGGCGCAATGTCTGACGCTTGTAATCCCAACACTTTGGGAGGCTGAGGCGCCTGGTTCACGAGGTCAAGAGCTGATCAAGACCATCCTGGCCAACGTGGTGAAACCTGGTCTGTACTAAACATACAAAAATTTTCTGGGTGTGGTGGAGCATGCCTGTTGTCCCAACTACTTGGGAGGCTGAGGCAGGAGAATCGCTTGAACCCAGGAGGTGGAGGTTGTAGTGAGCCGAGATTGCACCACTGCATTCCAGCCTGGGTGACAGAGCGAGACTCCGTCTCAAAAACAAAAAAACAAAAAAACCAAAAACAACCAACTGGGTTATTTTCCTTATTGTTGCCTTTGAAAGTTCTTTATGTATTCTGGATACAAGTCCTTTGTTGCATATGTGATTTGCAAATGTTTTCTTACAGTGTGCAGTGTATCTCAACAGTGCCTTTTGCAGAGCAAAAGTCTCAAAATTTATTTAAGTACAGCATACCATTAAAAAATGTTTGATGGATTGTGCTTTTGGTATCATTTCTAAGATCTCCTTTCCCAACCCAAGGTCAAAAGGATTTTCATGTGTTTTTCTCTTTTTTTTTTTTTTTTTTTTTTTTTTTTTTTTTTGTTTTTTTTTTTTTTTTTTTTTTTTTGAGACGGAGGCTTGCTCTGTTGTCCAGGCTTGAGTGCATTGGGGCAATCTGGGCTCACTGCAACCTCCACTCCCAGGTTCCAGTGCTTTTCCTGCCTCAGCCTCCTGAGTAGCTGGGATTACAGGCACGCACCACTATGCCTGGCTAATTTTTTTGTACTTTTAGTAGAGACGGGGTTTCACCGTGTTGGTCAAGCTTATCTCGAACTCCTGAACTCGTGATCTGCCTGCCTCAGCCTCCCGAAGTGCTGGGATTATAGGTGTGAGCCACTGTGCCCAGCCAGTTTTTTGGTTTCACATGTAGTTCTGTCATCTGTTTTGAGATAATTTTGAGGTATGGATCCAAATTAAGTTTTTAAAAAAATGTTTGTTTTGGCCGGGCACAGTGGCTCACACTTGTAATCCCAGCACTTTGGGAGGCCAAGGCAGGTGGATCATGAGATCAAGAGATCAAGACCATCCTGGCCAACATGGTGAAACCTCGTCTCTTCTAAAAATACGAAAAACAAAATTAGCCAGGCATGGTGGTGCATGCCTGCAGTCCCAGCTAATCGGGAGGCAGAGGCAGAATTGCTTGAAACCGGAAAACAGAAGTTGCAGTGAGTGCACCATTGCACTCCAGCCTGGCGATAGAGCGACACTCCGTCTCAAAAAAAGAAAAATGTTTGTTTGGTTTTTGCATATGAATATTCATTTGTTCTGGCATCATTTGTTGAAAAGATTGTTATTTTTGGTTTGATTTTGCCTTTGTGCCTTTATGGAAAATCATTTGATCCTGTACGTGTGGTTCTATTTTTGAACTCTATTCCATTTATTTCTCTATCTTTATGCCAGTACCATACATTCTTGATTACTGAATTTGTATAGTCTTGATTTACATAGTATAGGTCCTCCAACTTTGCCCTTTTTCAAAATTGCATTGGCTGTCTAAGGTACTTTGCCTTTCTTTATGAATTGTAGAATGTTTATCAATTACTGCAAAAGAATGTGCTGCAAGTTTGATTGGGATTGTATTGAATCTTTAGAGCACTTTGGGAGGAATGCCTTCTTAATAATGAGTCTGTGTCTATGATATATATCTTCATTTACTTAGGTCATCTTTAGTTTCTCTCAGCAGTCTTTTATAGATTTCAGTGTACACATCTTACCTTATCCCTAAGTTATTTCATATTTGATGCTAATGATGTTTAACTTTGATTTTTTGATGTTTTTTATTGCTGGTATATAGAAATGGAATTATTTACTATTAATCTGATTTCCTACAGCCTTGCTAAACTCATTTATTCTAGGAGCATTTTGTAGATTGCACAAAGTGTAGATTTTCTACAGAGACGATCATGCAGTTTTGATTGCACCACTCCACTCTGGGTGCCTTTTATTCTGTTTTACTTTAGACTTTTATTGGAAATATGGCAGGACTCATTTGTCTCTGTATTCACTTTGGGGTCCCTCCCCACGCATACATTTGTTGACTTTAGTTTTAGATTATGTGTAGCATTAGCATTGTTCTGAAAGTCAGAACTACATATACATTTATAAAAAAGGTAGACTCGGACCAGGTGCAGTGGCTCATGGCTGTAATCCTAGCGCTCTGGGAAGTCAAGGCCAGTGGATCACAAGGTCAGAAGTTCAAGACCAGCCTGGTAAGCATGGTTAAACCCCATCTCTACTAAAAATATACAAATTAGCCGGACTTGATAGTACGTGCCTGTAGTCCCAGATACTCGGGAGGCTGAGGCAGGAGAATTGCTTCACCCCGGAGATGGAGGTTGGCCCACTGCAACCTCCGCCTCCTGGGTTCAAGCAATTCTTCTGCCTCAGCTTCCCAAGTAGTTGGGACTACAGGCATGGACCACCACGCTCAGCTAATTTTTGTATTTTTAGTAGAGATGGTGTTTCACCATGCCTGCCAGGCTGGTCTCGAACTCATGATCTGACTGCCTCGGCCTTCCAAAGTTCTGGGATTACAGATGTGAGCCACTGCACCTGGCCTGGAATAGTTTATTTAAAGGGAAAAAAAAAGCCAAAATTACCTGAAGAATGATTCAGTTCGGGCCTAACCAGTACGAAGGTGTGGTCACTGAACCTCTTGTTTCTAGAGTCTTTACTTTTTGAAGATGTTTTACATATGTGCATTATAATATATAACAGTTGCTTGCAGTTAATTCGGTAATACCTGTCAGTTCCACCCCTGACACTTGCAAACCTTTCGACCTACTATTTTGCATCACAGATTTTTAAGAATTAGTATCCATTTTAGAAGTTTTCTTGTAGGTTAAAAATTTTAAATGGTTATTCTTTAATAAGGCTGTTAAAAGAATTTTGGGATTTCTGTTGCCAAGTCACTAAAAAGTTAGGCAGAGAAGGGTAAAGGTGTTGCAAGCACACATGAAGAATTAACATTTTAAAAGAACCTTTAAGCAACTTGCCAAATGTGGATTTCTTGTTGGATGTCTCTTGTCTAAAAGCAGAGCAGCGTACTATCAAATCAGTAAAAATAAAGTAGGAAAGGATTTGTAAGTTGAAATGTTTCAGCAGACTCTGTAGCCTCCCCCATCTCCATCCTCACTCTGTGATGTTAAGTGTGTGGTCCCATTCGGCCAGATACAGGTAAAGGTGGCTGATGTCATTTTGTTCTGAGGCTTAAAAGACCTAAAAGGTTTTGTTACTCATAACTTATTATATGTGTTAAATTTTAATAAGAATTTTTTTTCTTCTTTCTCCCAAGCCAAACTGGCAAGACGCAGTCAAGAACGCGACAATCTTGGCATGTTGGTCTGGTCGCCCAATCAAAATCTTTCAGAAGCAAAGTGTAAGTCTTGGAGCACTTTATTTTCCACCTTTCGTGTTTAAGGTTTTAAAGGTACCTTTGAAGCTAAAAGCTTCTATATGTATTACATTGCTTTTATATTTTAAGATAAATAATTTGAAGTTTTAAAAATGCATATTTCTTATTTTTAAAATTTATTTTTTGAGATGAAGTCTTGCTCTGTTGCCCAGGCTGGAGTGTAGCGGCATGATCTAGGCTTACTGCAACCTCTGCCTCCTGGATTCAAGTGATTCTCAAGCCCCAGCCTCCTGAATAGCTGAGATTACAGGCTCCCGTCACCACACCCAGCTAATTTTTGTAATTTTAGTTGAGACAGGGTTTTGCCATGTTGGCCAGGCCGGTCTCAAACTCCTGACTTCAGGCCTGCCTTGGCCTCCCAAAGTGCTGGGATTACAGGCATGAGCCATTTCACCCTGTGATCTATTCCAGTTTTGAACATGTTCTTTCTTATAGAGCGCTAAAAATCTCCCTCCCTGTAATTTGTGAAAGCTTTGTTTTCTTGAACTTTGCCAAATAAGCCTGCTTCCATGTGTCCTTTAAATGTTCAGTCATTGTATCCCCTTTACTGTCTGAGTCCAAGCTAGTTGCTTCGAGTGCTTTTTCAGATGGTTTTATTTTGGGGTCTCTGTTCATCTCTTGTTGCCCTCCTAAGTATGTTCCAGTTGGTCACAATGTGTCCATCTTAGGTTGTACTCAGAAATGAATGTTAAGAATACTGAGCACTTTTTGAAACTTTATGCCAGCATAGTACTCAAATGCTTTTCATGCCCCTATATCCTTCAATGTTCACAGTGACCCAAGAGGAAGATTTTGTCTCTGTTTTATAGATGGCATTCCACAGTCAGAGGGTTGTGAAACTAGCACAGATAGTGAGTGCTGGAACCACAGGTAGCATCCAGGTTCGCTGATTCTTCACTCCTGGATCGTACTCTTGCTTGTTTCTCAGGCTGTGTGCCTGTCAGCCACTATCTTTCTGTTATTACAGTTTAAAGTTATATTAGTCAATTTTTCTATTGTATTACCTATTGGAGTCTTGGAGTCAGAATTTAATTTTATCTTATTTTTCATAGACCTAGAAGAAAGAAAACAGAATATGGAAAGTTAAATCAATTTTTAAACAGTGGTATTGCCTATAGAATAAATTCACAGTTTTATTTTAAGCCCTGATTATAATTGTTTTCAAAGTTTAAAGTTGGACAGCGAGCTCAGCTCATGGCTCAGGCACACCTAAGCCAGGGCAGAAGTGCAGGAGGACCAAGTTTGACAAATATTAATACACAATTCTTATTGAGGCCTTTGAAATGGACCATTACTTGGAATTACTGTCAGAGAACAACTGGCCAGAAAAACAGATTCCCGAGCCCCGAATCCAGGTTTGGTTTCAGAACCGGAGAGCTGGAATACTGAAGAGGAGCCCCATTGTGGAGGCAGCCTGGGCAAGGCCCGGATCCCAGACCCTAGACAGGCAGGGGTGCTGTCCCCTGACTGCTCTTGCCAGCAGGGCTTCCCAGGGGTCCCAAGCAATGTGGGCAACTTCTCTTGGGAATTGGAGGATGCTTTTGGCCAAGCTTTCCTCTGGGGGCATGTTAAGCTCTCCTCTGGGAGCATGCTGGTGTTCCAGCCGCAAAGGTGGCCCCTGCTGACCTGGAGATGGCAGCCAGTGTGCCAGACCAGCCTTAGGGAGATGTCCCTTGCTCTCTGCCCTCGGGCTCAGCACTGCTTCCAGGTCCTTCTTGCTTCCAGCCCTTCCCACAGCTGGAAGCTAGCAGTGCTGGGGCTCAAGTTTGTCCCGGGACACCCGGCCTGCTCCCTGCACATGGGTCCCAAGCCCTTTGGGGGTGCTGAGACTGTGCCCTCCTGCTGCGTAGCAGCAGCCGAGGTGGGGCTGGCAGCAGGGGATGGGATGGGGGAGAGGGCAAGGTGCCTGGATGCTCAGGGACCCGGGAGCAGCCCTCTCTGCCCCCGCCCCAGCAGCTCTGGTCTCATCCCGCGTCTTGGTCCCTTTCCTGGCTGTAGCCACTACAGGCCCCCGCTAAGTGCTAGAAACAGTTTCTTCTTTTCTTCCAGAACCCAGCTCACGTGGGAGGTCCCAACAGCGGCTGCTGGGTGTGCACCTCAGGCAGCTGCACAGCAAACCCGTGGAGATGACTTGTCAGTGTCAGGCAATGGAAGACAGATGAACTAAGCCAGGGCTCATTGGTAGTGTTCACATTATGAAAATTGAAGAGGAATGTCAAGATTTATATACTTTGTCATGGAAAGGCTCCCAGACATACTTTTCAGGGAAATGAAGCTGTTAAGTTGTTAAGGTGTTGGGCTGCATGGGACCTAGGGGTTTTCCTTAGATGGGATAAAAAAGGATTGACTTTATAGAATTGTCTGTCCTTCCATTTATTAACCAAGTAAACACCTAGCACTTACAGTGAACAAAGTTCACTAGAGAGAAGGGGCTCGGCAGGATGAGGACAGCTTTGTAGAAATGCATTATTTTATAACCAGTAAAGAGCAATGATTTCTACTCTGGAGGAAAAAAAACCACTAACCTAAAAGTAACATTTACATATTGTGGAAAGTTCATAGATAAAGAAAAGTACAAAGAATTAAAAAATTTTTACCTATTATTCCATCACCCAGAGGTGATAACTGTTAAACATTTTGGGGTACTTCTTTCAGTATTTTTTTGTACATATTTGTATCAGTGACTCTTGAAAATTAGGGCCAGACATGGTGGCTCACACCTATAATCTCAACACTTTGGGAGGCTGAAGCGGGCTGATCACAAGGTCAAGAGATCGAGACCATCCTGGCCAACATGGTGAAATCCCACCCTACTAAAAATACGAAATTAGCTGGGCATGGTGGCAGAGGTTGCAGTGAGCCGAGATTGTACCATTGCACTCCAGCCTGGTGACAGAGTGAGAATCTTGTCAAAAAAAAAAAGTTTTTGGAAGAATGTGGAAGTCTTGGTTGTTCAGCATTTATTGCAACATTAATTAGAAATAAGTGATTTAAGACATATTTCTAGCAGATACTGAAAAATTGTGTATAAGGATGTTTGGAGATCCCTGGCTCTGTGTGTGTGTGTGTGTGTGTGTGTGTGTAATTTAAAAATGGTATTGTAGAAAATTCAAACAGTACATCATACATAATATATAATTGTTTTCCACAAAATGTGAGCTGTTCATCAGTTTGCTCTTAA